AGAGAGAGAGAGAGAGAGAGAGAGAGAGAGAGATGGGGGGGGGGATAATAGGCAAAAAGATAGTTCTTTTGGAATTGAGTTTTTCTAATGAAGAATGTCGTGGTACACTCTCCTGGACCTCATTTTCTGGTATTTTCACTCCGAGGATCCGAATCACGAAAAATAAAAATCCTTCAGATCAATTTCTTATAGAAAGTCGGAAAAAGATTTGATGCCCTAATAATGGTCCATTTGCCATTGTCATTTTTTTTATCAGTAAAGGCCATTCTCACATATGATAACTGATTAGATCTATACCAACTTAGGAGCTCCACATTGATTTTCTGGTGACAATTAGATTCCCGATGTTTAGAATACTTTTCTAGTCAAACAACGGTTTCTTCATGTGCTGTTATAACTGACGGCACTAGAACGCTACAGAATTGTCACTCTTTTTTTATTCCTGGAGACCCGAAAAAATTATTTAGGGCTAGTTTGGATGTCAAGTAAAAAAAAAGATTGTATACACTGAGACCATTTATCTTTTGTACAAAAAAGTCATAATTACTTACATGTAAAATATGATAGCTTTGATATATCACAAAGTTCGAAAAAAAAAATTTTGAACATTGAGCTCGGTCAATGAAATAAATGCAGCCACCCTATTTGACGTCCAATGATCAAGATTAATTGTGATTACCTTGTACAAAAAATAAATGGTCTCATTATATACTTTCCAATAAATAAAAGCCTTCACATTGAAAAAAAAAATTGTAAGTTTTTATATCCTTCATTGAGAAATATAATCTATCTTTTTTTTATTATTCTGCTGGACTGTTTAGATGGGGTGTTAAATACTAAAAGCAGATTTTATTTGCTCGATATCTATTTCGAGTGTGCACTCTCCAAAAGGTTTTCCTATATCCCTCCCATAAGTCAAAAATCAGTTTCTATACAACTTTCTCTCTCTAGAACCTAAACACCTCAAAATATCCTGGAAAAACTCCCACCCAAAAACCCCAAAAATCAACAGTACCATAAAACCCAAAGAAACCCAATTGAAAATAAAGACCATTACCCCTAAAACCTCCAATGAAGTAAATCGTGGTTTGATGTTCAGCCCTTTCTTTTGGAGCAACACCGTTAAGTTTAGCCCTTTCTTATGGAGAGAGGACACTAAGGGATCAAATTTACAAGGAGCAAAACATCCCAGGTTACAAAGATATACCTATTTTACGGAGAAAAGCAGCCCAAAACTTGGAAGAGGGCTTTTTGTTATTTTTTAAAGATGAAGGGTTTCTGCGAGAACTTGTCCATGTATGCAAATTTGGGGTTTGTGTTATTTCTGATGAACACTGGGTTCTCTGCAAAATACCTTTTTTTTTTTTGAAAACTAGGGTTTTTGCTTTCATGGCTTCAGGTTGCGACGAAGTGTAGACTCCAGATACTAACTGAAGGAGAAATGGAGGTAGAACCGCAAGAACCATTGAACAGGCTTGTCAAAGTGGAGACCTTGAATCAACCATGGACTCCAGTCGACACAAAGACAGATGGTCAAAGAGAATCGAAACTGATGAAAAATATGTGATTCTCTCACTTCCTGCAATCTCTTATCAATTCTCTCACTTTGCAGAAAATGATATTGTGCTCACACGATTTAAGTGTTTGATGGCACAATTTGACCAAGAGAGCTCCACTTGCAGCACCACTCTAACCGATCTATCTCTTGCGGTATAGAAGAAGCCATTGCAGCCGGTTCTGTAACTATGAAGCCTCAAAATCTTTGTCCTTCAAGTTGCACCACAGATTTGGATTCTGCAACATATGATGCTTGGGGCCACTAAACCATTAGTGGCACCAGAGGAGCTCTTGGAGAGAGAGGGCGTGCAAAAGAGTTGGGTAGCAGGGTGCTAAAAAGAGAGCTGGGTTTTTTGGGTTGGCAACTAAAGCGAGAGCGGAGAGTTGGGTTGTCGGGTCATGGGTAACTAGAGAGAAAGCTGGGTGTGGGGTTTGCACCGGGTTAGAGAAAGCCGCATTTTCATCCGAAAAAATTCAAGTCTATAATTTTGGACGGTAACTTTTGACTTGACACGAAGGTTTTTTTTTTCTTTCAATCTAACAATCTAGCAAAAAGTTGCGGTTGTCCAAATGGTTCAAATCCGTTCCACAAGTTTTTTAGATTGCAAACCAAAAATATTCCAATTTTGGGTACATTCAAACTGGCAATTAGTTTCATGAATGTGCAAACTATTTGCTGTGAAATCAGAGCTGGCTTTTACACTTAAGCAGCTACCACAATTTAGGAATGTCGATTAATCGTGCATTGTGCAACCGCAAATCTTTTATTTTTCTTTGGAGAATCTAAATTGGTCCCAAATTACGTGCTTTGTACTGCATTTGCATGCTAAAATTTTTTAACTGTTTTCATACATGACTTTTCAATTGCTCCTTTGCTAATGATAATGTTAACAACGGACAGCTGATCTCAATTGCTCCTTTGCTAAAAATATGCAGAGCAATATGACTCACATGATCATGGCAACTAAATAATGGGGTCATCACCATCCCATCAATTTGTTGGATGGTGATGAAGGGAGAGAGTCCCACCAGAGGTCATTAAGCCATTTCTACGTCCCATTCTTTCTCCATCACTCTCCAACCCATTGAAGGGAAGGTGATGACCACCATCACTATAATAGTACCATGATCATGGATCATAATATGCTTTCTCATACATGAATACAAATGCAAATGCGCCTGTTTCTCATGTGCATGAGCATGTCAAGATGTATAGGTTCAATAAGTTATGTATGCTGCACATGCATGCCAAAATACAACACATGAATTTCAATCGACAAAAATCTTAACTCATGAAAATAACAATTACATTTATCTAGTCAAATCACTAGTTCCTCAACTCAGATATCCACCAACTCATTTAACCAAAAGTAAAAATAAAAAAAATGAACTATGGAATAATGCAACATGGAAGCATCAAAAAGGAAAAGAAAAGAAAACAGAGAGAGAGAGAAATAATAGCTAAAACAAATGAACCCGCTGTATCTGTGTTCACTAACCTTAAGAGCGTAGCCAGGAAGAGGTTGGTGATGAGGGCCTCTCTCTCCTCGTTTGAGCAGATTGAGTTTGAGGTGGAGGAGCGTGCACAGTTATTGGAAGAACCCACTCTCCTTTCTCTCTCCTCTCAATGAGAAGAGGATGGTCATACCTATAATGATATCAGATAATTATGGAAGGAAGAAACTCTTATCATTACAATAAATGAATTTTGTGTCAAGACTCACTGAAGTAAAAAGTGATGGAAATTATGTCAAACTAGAGAATAAACTAGAGGAAAAATCGAACCGGAATGGTTAACCAGACATAGGCCTTGAAGCAATTCAAGCCTAACCGGTAAACCCACCGGTACAACCGTTCTAACCAAAAAGTCTTGGGGGGTCAAAAAGTATTAAAACAATACAAAAAATACAAAAAAAAACTCTAATAAAATATGAAAAATATATTTAAATAATGATCAAACAATATTTAAATAATGATTAAACAAAGAACATCGATTTGTGCCTAGAGGTATTTTTGAAATTTACCAAAAAAAGATGGGAAAATGAAAAAATAAGTATTAATGGCCAAAACAATTTCCAATCTTTGTCATAATGATGAAAAACATTAAAAAATGCATTACAAACAAAATCCCTTATTTTTTGGGATTTTATCTAATTTTTTAAAAAATACCTGGCCAATGGCCAAAACCGCTGAAAACCAAAACCGGCGATTAACCGGGCAGTGACCAATTAGATGGCCCGATTTTTCCTTCAATGTAATAAACCGATACTAATATTGAGTTGACAAGAGAAACGGCATACATGGAATAAAAAGAAAGAACGAAAGTGGTACACCTTAAAGTAAAAAATTGGAACTCAGTTTCAAAACCATATAAAAAGCGAGAATTCAAGAATGCTTGTGAGTTTTCTGAAATTGCTCAAACTTCTCTTCCAGGCATCTCTCTCCCTCTCTCTCTCTCTCCCTCTCTCTCTCACTTACACACGCACATGCACACACACATGCATGTCTGTGCAAAGCACGCATGCAGGTAGCACTCCTCACTGCAACCACTAGCTACAAGCATTCCACCAGATCTCTCCCCCTCGTCAGACTTACTCAAGTTAATGGGATCGTTTATCACATACAAAACATTACCATTTGGGCAGTCCAATGGTTTCTTAAATAGTTGATATCAGGGCCTTTTTTGTAAAATAACCACCAAAAAAAAAAAAGAAGCGGAATGGAAACATGACCTAGTCCAGTCTATGTCCTTTGGGGTGGTAAAGAATTCAAAGTGGAGGGCCCACTGTACAGAAACACGAGGTGTGGAAAAAGACATGGGTCCATCCATTGGTATTGAGAAGAGGAAGCTTGTCTGCAGCAGGTCAGCAACAACTTCATGGTGGTCCCACTGGATCTGCATAATCAGAAAAAATTAAGTAATTAGCCATCAATTATCCATTCAACTAGAACATTACCAAATTTTAGATGGGAAAGTACACCGTTAACCAAAGGAGTACGCTACATGCCCGCATGTACTTGAAGGGGCATCCATTGTACAACACTGATGATGGACAGGGGGATTAACCATAGTGGGACCACAAGCACTCGGGTTAGTTAATCTCCACCATCCATCAACAGGAATGGATGGTGACTTTTGGAGAATCATACACCCCATACCAACCAGATTATGCTAAATTGCTAATATGTATGACGCATATATACATACATACATGCCAGATGAGGAGCATGATTGATTGACAAAGCAAAAAGCTAATAATAGTAACATGGTGTTCTGCTGCAAAAAAGATATGCAAGAATCTGATGGCACATAATCACACAAGAATCGATGGAGAATCCATGAATCCAACAAAGGTAGAGTGAGGAATTCACCAGTACTTGACCATGGTACAGGTAGAAGATACAGGTTTTATGAACTGGAGGTTTGAATGTGGCCCCTTTCTACATTTAGAGTTTAAATATAAAAAAAACTTAATACTAAAATAAAAAGAAGTTATCCTAAGAAAAATCCATACATGTTGGATTCCACGTCTCAAGAATCCTCTCTTAAGAATTCTTCGGAATAAAGAATCCATCCGTGTCCATGCCGTACTTGTGTCCAACTGTCAAAAACTCCAAGACTTCTTTTTCTCACTATGTTTTCAAGAAAATAATGTCTAATGGAATGCCTGAAAAACCCTCGATATCTTGAAACTAGTAACGATGTCCGTTTTTTTCACTTAATAACCTAAAAAGGATGTGCAGGTTAACTAATACATGTTAAGTGTGCTACTTAAGGGGAAACAATACCATAGTCCATTGGACAATGGTATTGGTACCCAAAGGGTAAACCCACCATCTATTCCCATTGACTGATGGTTGAAGATAACAATGCCAGAATTCCGTTTTGGGCATCACTAAAATCCATCAGCAGGAAAAATTAGTGCCTTAGTGGCACGCCATGATCCAATGAACAGGGCATTCTTTCCCCAAAAACAATTCCTTACCTTTGTAATTGTAGGGGAGCTTCTACGTGAAGGATGAACAAATGGCTGACTGATAGATTCTGAAGTCTCCAAGGTGATAGAGACCTGAGGGCAATAAATGGAAGCACACCTTTTATCAAATAAAATCCCTATTACGAGTGAATCATAATTAGATCAAAGGTGGATTTTATATTTTGGTGTACCTCAAGGCATCGTCTCGACCCTTCTTCATGGGCAAAAGTAAGAGTGCCACCAATCTGTTTCCAAATATAAATCTCTTGGTCACAGGTGAATGCATATTCTAACCATGAAACAACAGAAGAAAGGTTGCTATCTACTTACCATGTCGCCAAAATAATAAGTCGAATCAGAGTTTTTAGGAGAAAATCTAAGTAAAACTTGGTCATCCATCCTGATATTGTAAGACCTTCCTCGAATGTAGCCTTCTGCTGCAAAAAACGTGTACCAGAAATTAGCTATTTTCACTTCCATTTTAGAGTAAAGATTGAGAGGATTTGAGTCCAATAAAAATATGGGAAGGTATATTATAATCTAAAGGAATGAAACACTATAGTCCATCAGTTCATCACAGTCCATTAAAACAATGTACAGTGGTAGGGAGAGTGGACCCACTATTCCATTCTCTCTCCATCACAATCCATAATTTTGATGGACGTCATGACCCCAATCAACTATAATTTCCCATGATCCATCATATAAAAGTGTACTTCTGGTTTAAAACATTCATATACTAAGAGGTGAAGAAAGTTTAGTGTTGTACATGCTACAGGTTCAACATTGCCAGGTGTAGAGAATGCTCCCATCTCATCATCAGTGAAAGAAGCACTTGGATACTTTCTCTGTTGACTTGGAGAAAGGATGGTCGAAGGAGGATAAGATCCCATCTTCTTTAAGGAATAGTTTCTTTCCATGGAAATCCCACAGGGAGATGGTACATCTGTCAGCGTTTCCACATAAAAACAAAATATCCTCAACAGTTGTCATGTATGTTTCAGGCTCAGTGGAGCGAGAAAATGATCAAATGAGAACTACCACCAAGGGAAATAATGCACTACGTTTCATGTGCTACAAATTCATTAGACTGCAGATTGATTACATTTTAAAACAAATAGTGAAGGGAAAATATATATCCAACAAGCACATATATAAACGAAAGCAACTTTAATTATTGAATAATCTACCCTAATAAATAGTGAAATACATTTTAATGCTTCAAGCACTGCTACTTACTCCCATTCGGCTCATACAAGACTTCTGAAGTAGCCAGTTGAGTGGGCATCTTAAATGAACGAAAACTGGAACGTTCTCCTTGGTGATAAGGGCTTGCCTTAACCCAACTGTTCATAGCTGGTGCAGATGATTGCAAAGACAAAGAGTTCTGGAAGACATACTCTAGATTTCCTTTAGTGTGGCTATAGGAAGCTACAGATGAAATTTCATCTCTTGAACTATCATAACCATCTTCAATCCCATGAGATGACTCGTTCGCTCTATCCTGATCAGGAAAAAACATCTCGGGTGAGGTTAGGTCGTATAGCAAAGCTCTGAAATCAATATTTCTTCTAATCCTAATTACTGAAAATGGATCAGCCAGAAAAGTAATTGTACACAAGTTGCAATTCAATAACAAATTCACAGAAGACTTTCACTCAAATGCAATAGAATCAAGACATCGAAGAAGCACCAACCCATTCTGAGTCTGCATCCTTCTCTTTCCAGTGTACATCCAACATAAAGGGAGGAGCAGGTAAAATACCTGCGCAAAGTATCATATAAATCTCAAAAGTTTGCGTCATGATTAAAAACTTTGCTAGATGGACAAAAAAGTAGCAGTATATAAAAGAACGGTGTGGTTTCTATAAGGTTGCAACCTTAAACAATCCAATTAAGGTGCACCTCCAAATTTTATCATAACATATAATTTTCGCGTAAAATATTCTTAGGATTATATCAAAATCTATTTTCATATCTAATTATAAAATTTTAGACTCCAAAAATGGTTAAAATCAAGTAGATCTATGAACATAGGAAAATTTTGAATATGGACAGATAATGTGTTGCAAGATCCACAATTTCTGGGACTCAAAAATTTTTTTTTTTTTGTCATATTCATACATCTCGATGTTGAGATGATCAATTAAAGGATTTTTAACATTAAAACAACCTTTTCCGATGAATTTTTGAGGTGCATCTTTAATTTTACATTTCAAGGTTGCAACCTTACATAAACTTTTTCCATAAAAGAAAAGTTGATAGTATATTGAAGCACCAACTACAGTTTCTATTTCTGGAGAACCAACTCATGGAGTTCATGAAGTCAACTTCATCAAAACTTAAAAGGGGACTGCGAGTCAAACCAGCAAGCATGGCAGTGGTTCAGAAAGGTCATTGCACAGGATAAGCCTACTTCTGGTTAAATTTAAAGAAGTTGTTCATGACTGTTGTTGCTTGTGCTGTTGTTGTTACTACTACTAATACTTAATATTATATCCTTAGATGGCTGTTTTAAACACAATGTACAACAACTAGAGCCTTACATTGATTACTGGCAAAGGCCTGGTTCACTCAAACCCATAAAAGAATCCTCAAACTCAAAGAATCCTCAAACTCCTTGTTCCATATTCAAAAATGAACATATAAGAGCGTTTAGGGAGTGGGTTCACTCAATGTGGCTTCAAAGGCAAATCTGACTTAGAAGAAAAGCTTCATCCATTATTATCTAAGAAAATATAGGATAATTGTTATGTGAATAAAATCAATAGGTACTCCATTACCATCAGGTGAATCGGTTTCTAATATTTCTTGAAAACTCTACAATTTCACTCCATCAAGTTCAATTAAAATCTTTCCAACACATGAAACTGTACCTGATTTTGATATTCAAGAAAGTAACCCTAAGTTGGGTATTTCTTGCCTTCTTAAATAGTAATTTCATTATACTTTCAATCAGAACGTAAATTTTGACACATAAATAGCCCAATTATGACTCTAGGCAATGCTTTCTGTAGAACTTACTTTGTGAAAGAGTATTTCTTTAAGAAAATGGTTGCAAGATGAATGGACAAGATAGTTTGGCCAATTTAGTTCATTGCTGGATTTTGCTAGCATGTTGCCAGTGATCATACAAAACTCTAGGAGAAAAGCTAGTAATTAGAAAATATAAAGATACGTAGCACTCTATAGAATGAAAATTTCATCATCTTCAAAGCCTTTTCCCAACTAATTGGGGTCAGCCAAACGAATACTGGTCCGCCATTCTGCTCTATTAAAGGTCATACCTTCAATGAGGCTATAAGTCCCCATATCTTTTCTCACTACTTTGAAACATGTCCTTTTGGGCCTACCCCTTATCCTTTTTGAGCCTTCCACTTGAACTAACTCGCACCTCATAACAGGTGTTGTACTGGGTATGCGCCACACATAGCCAGCCCTCTTAAGTCTCCTCGCTCTCATCTTAAACATATGAAACCTTAACAATATTATGTAAATCATTTTCACAAACAAATTCCCAAGATTACCATTTTACTATTTTTCCTGAATTTTCCGTGATTTATCTGATCTTCTTCAATAAGCATTCATCATTTTTTCAATTTAGTTTGTTTGGTTTTTCTGAAACATCAAGTTGCTCGTTACAACCAGGTTAGACCAGTCAACCCACTACGAATTTGATGGCCAATTTTAATCCTAATATTATATCTCAAAGAACAATTCAGATTTACATTCAGTAGAGGTATACTTGAAAAAATATGAATTGTGTTGCAAGATCTAATTCTTGTTTTTTGGAATGATGAGATCTCTTTCTTTTCCCTTTATTTTATTCATTTACCATGATCTCCCCCTCCCTTCCCACCCTCTGCCATCCCCCCACCATCCCTCCCCTCATTATAATCATTTTATGCTATCTTTGTTACATTCGCCATTGATCAAATAAAACTTTACAAGAAAGCTACAAAGAATATAAAGATCCACATAACACTTTCTAGAATGAAAAATACGAAACCTTAAACATGTTATGTAAATCATATTCACAGACAAATTTTCAACTTCACTGTTTTACTATTTTTTTGAATTTTAGTTTGATTCATTGAAGTTTGTTCGACAAGTATTCATTATTTCAATTTAGTTCTCTGGATACTCTGAAACATCAAGGAGCACATTACACCAGGTTAGACAAGTCAACCCCAATACGAGTTTAACAGCAAGTTTAATCCTAAATTCCTAACATTATTCCTCAAAGAACTATTCAGATATACATTAAATAAAGCTATACTAGAAAAAGTAGAGTAAATCTGTTGCAAGATCTGTTTCTTTTTATTTTTTCATTTGGTAGTGATGATATACTTTGTTGTCTCATTTGAGTTACCATGATCTCCCTCCCTGCCTCAAAAAACAACAGTGAATTTCTAATTGTTACTTGTGGATGCATAATGATGAATGATAAGAGTAAGAATTATTCGATGTTGTGAAGCATTACATTAAATTAGTGGTTCAAGAAAACAAATAGTAAAACATACCATCATTTTGGTCCTCTTCAATAAACAAACCCCCAGTGTTCGCCATGATCCAAATATGCACTGGAGTACGAGCTTCCTGTAAGGATTAAAGAACCAAATAAACAAAATGTTCACTAAACATAAATCTCACTTCCACAAGTCTCTGATGTACTTGAACAATTAAGGGCCCACAAGTCATAGATCTCACTTTAGAATTTCATACTACAACATTAGAATTTATTTCACAAGCGCCGGGATCCAGGGAAGGACAAAAGGTACTTTTCCACTTCCCATATGTTTACTCAATCGAACATTATTAAGACTGTGTAGAGCAAACCCCAACTTGGATTGGTTTATTAGATGATCTAGCATTTAGGAAACCAACATTTGTGTATCCTTAGTCACCAAAAATAACAGGGAGAATATTCAGAGCCCAAGCTGATTTTCCTTCACCAAAGCAATAGGAGCACATAAACAATTTAGCTCGGGATTCCCACAAAACAAAAAACATAAAATAAAATAATATAAAACAATAATAAGAAAATAATCAATCATAAAATAAACTAACAAACAAAAAAATCACTAAAAAATATTTTATTTAGGATGAAAACTCAAGCTATGGAGAGAAGCATGTCAAGTAACAGAATGAAAAGAAAAATCAACAAAAAAGACCACATAATAAGAATGAGATACTACTAATGCAAATGAAGAGAGAAGAAGAATTGATAATGGCACAAGGGCCGGTAAAAGCCCCAATAATAGAAACAGCAGGGTAAGATACGTGAATACAAGAAAGGGAAACGCATTTATTGCTGACAGATAAATGAATGTTCCATCTTAACTGGATGGGACTCCATTAAGTTTGAGTTATGAACTAAAATGAAAAACCAAGACAGTAAAATCAATATGAAGCACCAGAGATGTCATAGAGTGTATACTTTCTCAGTGTCAACACATCCCCTCTGCAGAATCAAGGCATGTAGACTATTTTTTTGAGAAAGTTAACTTGTATTGAGATAAAGGGAGTACAAAACATGGGAACCCAAAGGCATGTAGACTTTTAAACATACGATATACAAATTTACAGCCTAACCCTACTTTCCACAAGGCAAAACAAGCCTACCAATTGAATCAAATCCCTTGAAAACTCACTACTGGAGTGACCATTATTGTACACCAACCGCCGACAGCTAAGAGTACTTTTTATGTAGTACAAGTAGCGAATGGCAGTACCCCTGTATGATGGGGGAAGCACCTTTGGAAGCTCTGAACGAATCATATCTGTAAATAGTGAAAAAAAAAAAAATCAACAAAGAAGAAGATACCAAGAATCCCAGCAAATCAAATAATCACCATAGTTGGAATCGTACAGTAAATGATATCAAACAAGAGATTCAAGACAACCGCATTAAAACATGAAACACAATCTCCTTTAAACATAACCAAAAAAACCACATTCAAACATATCATTTTCCATCAATTAAAACACAACAAAAATGAGAGAGCACATTCAGTCACTTTTTTGATAGTCCACCAATACTGTTGGTGGTCAATTAAGCTTCCCATCAATATTGGCAGAATAAAAAAACAAGCGAATAACCAAAAGAAGAGTTGCCAAATGTATTCCCTAAAACGACATTTAAAAAGAAGTTATATAGCTATAAGAGAGATAAACAGACAAAATGGTCATGGAATTGGGACCAGTGTTTGAAAAGTCAAACTCCATCCAACTTGCCAGGGATCCGAGCTTGACTGCGCACGGTCTGACTCAGTCAAGTCCAAGTTGGACTAGGCAGTTTTTAATAAGAAAATTCTAAAAATTATGAAAAAAATCGGGAGACTAGGGCAATTCTAGGGTTTTTCTGTGCAGAGTTGCCTATCTCCTAGTCAGATCCAACTCAGCGAGTCTTTTCTTTTTAATTAAAAAAAAATGGATACACTACTGTTTAAAGCATTGAAGAAAACAATCAATATGCAATAAATGTTAATTCCTTCATATTCAAACAGCTGGTCCAATAGACAACAACAAAAAACGATACTACTAATGATATTGTTTCATCAAGTAAAAAAATCATTACTGTCCCTTCCTTCAGAAGCTCATTTATCTTGTTCAAACATCTTAACCTCCGAATCCAGGATGTAATTCTCTTCGGCTTTCTCTTTGTTCTTTTCTTCGGATAGAAAAAGACGCCACCATGGATACTAAATCCCACTCCAATTCCATTCCTAGTGCAGGCATAAATGTCCCTAACAAATGAACTTAGCAGGATAGGAGAAATTTAAAGGAACTCAACTTACATTTCTTTGTGCTTCCAGATGGAAGTATCACTTTTGATACCACGGTTGCTGTAGTGGAATCTAGAAAAACCTGCTCGCCTGCACCATAAAATCAACAACAAAGAAGATTGTGAAAACTAAGTCGAGCATGATAGGTGATATTCTATGGGAAGATTTCCGATATTATTGGAAAGGATATAGTTTAATGTGTTAATAACAAAAGCATAGTCCCCTTGTTTTTTTGGAGGAGATTAACTTGTATTATTCTTGCATCCATAATTATTACGAGCATAGTACATCAATACACAATAACCTAAAAATTTGTCAAAAAATATGAGAAAAGGTAAGCATAAACTCAATATGAATTGTAACCTCCATGGTAGTTTAAAGCATGACAAGGCCTTGTCAAACTCAAGAAAACCAGGAGGTAGTTAAGAGCATCAAAATATCATTTAATGTAAAGAAAGCCACAGACAAACTTTAAACAGAACAACATTAATAGTGGTATATTAATGACATGTACACCATGCACTTATGGACAACCAACAACGCCAGGTATAGGGTCCTTTCAAGCATTCCAAACTTTATGTGTCTATATATCTGTATAAGTAAAATCAAGGAAAGCCATGGTACTCACTAATTATACTCTGGCATGAGAAAACAAGATAGATTCACCTAGTGAAATAGCCTTGGTTCACTTCTGTAACAAAATCTGGTAATAATAGGATACTCACACTTAACATGAAAGAGAGAAGATAGAATCCAGACACATGCCAGATAAATACCTTTGGCAAACTACAAAGACTTCCACCAAAAAAAAGGAAAGAAAACAATCATCTTACATTTATGTACATACTAGTGATTTACTAATTTTATAAAATAAATACAAATAACATAAAATAACAATAATATAGGACTTACAGTTTAAAAAGATAATAATAATAATATAGAACTTCTACATCAAATCCCAGATTTTTTTTATTTCTACAAAACTGAGAAACTGTGAGATATTTCCTATGGGGCAGGTCCTCAGGTAAAAGAAACCCTATCTATTGAAGAGGGAAAAGGTGTGCATGTCAAAGTTCAAAGTGGAAATAGGATTTCAAAAAAACAACGAAATGAAAATGGCGCTGGAACAGTCGAAATGCATACATCAAAGGAATGAGGAAACACAGTTTCTGAGTATGTGCTTGCCAGTAATGCTCAATATCACGTCGCATTCTTGAACTTGGAAGTATCAAAGGTGTGGCAACCGAGGTATGTTTACAAGTTCTGTCAAGTTATGGATGGCCTTCACCACCCCACCTTCCCCAACTCTCCTCCTCTTATCTCTCTCCCTGCCCTACCTGCATCTCACCTCGCCAACCTCTACAAATCGTCAATAGTTGGAGTCTTCCATCCCCAGCATAATGACCACCAAGGCGTTGAGAGATGGGCCAAGGAAATCTGGAGGGAACCTGAGCTCAAGTGCAGACCCCTCTTCGACAAGTCCTATCTGCTTTCCTTCCCCTATCGCTGCAGCCTCGTCTTTCCTTCAACGCTCTTCTCCGGGCTCTTTCAAGGGAGCCTCCCTTCATCACACTTTCAAAGGTATAGGCAATGCATGCAGCTTCTTCGTAGCTGTCCACTGGAAATCGATGGAGAGCATCACTCTTGGGTCCCTTCGTCTCATTTTTGACATTCTCGACCCTCTTTCTATTCCACCTTCCATCTGGCTAGAGGTGGCTGGGAATTTTTTCCGGATTTCCATATCTTGGTCGACGACATCTTCCGCATCACCTTGCTTCGTTTCCCCGATGGAACCTCCAAAGAGGGTTCTCCATCACAATGACTCACCCGCTGTCTCACTCGACCCTTCAGACACTTGGACTTTTGTCCCCTTCAAAAGACCACCTAGGTGGTCCCGTCGACCACCACCCCTCCGCCGCCCAAGCCTTCCTCAACGCACCACACCTGCTCAGACTGATCCACCGCCATGCCCCCCTTCCTCACCGACCTCTCTACCTTCGCCTCCTACCCCACCACCCCCGTCGCCACCACCACCTTCACTTCCACCTCCGCCTCCACCCCCTCCTCTGCCACCACCTCCACCTCCCCTACCCATTTCCCCCTTTGCGGCTTTGCCTAATGTTTGTACGCTTTCCGACCCTTGTTAGACGCGCTGCCAACATCCGTTGACCCTGACGAGTGGCTTGCCACTCGACAGTCTCTCATGCTTCCGGGTCGGGCCTTTGTTGGCTCAAACAGCCTTTGCCACCAACCTCCATCCGACAGGTCCCTGTTGCCGCCGCCCATGCTCGATGACACATCGACACAAGTGATCGTTCTGGACCCTTCAGGCACTTGTATGCATGCCCCTTCGACTTCCTTTTTGCCGCCTTCTTCACCTAACACTCGTACGTCATCGACCACCCCTTTTGCCACCTCGACCTTCCTGGTCTCCCATCCCAAGGCCTCTCACACCCAAACCCTCCCTCACCCTCCATCGACCTATCTCCCATAGATCTTCTTCAGCTCCCTGCCGCAGTCACTTCACCTGCCCCTCACTAGTATGCTCTCTTCACATTCCTTGACCCCCATCATCACGTCAGCACCAGTATACCGCCACCCTACTGTGTCCTCACCATCATCACCACCTACCCCTATTGAGACGGCCTCCATTGCTCCATTCCTTTCTCCCTTTCATCAGGGACCTGCCCCTTCACCTCCTTCCTCACCTCTTCTCATCGATTTGCAGTCTGAAATAGGCGACGATCCAAAGCAGTAAGACCCTACTCCTTTGTTTCTATCAACCGAACAGGAACCTTCCCGAGCAGAGACCGTACCGGAAACCATGGACCCTAATCTCCTCGCCAAAAGTTTCTTTCCACCAGTTCTTGTGGGCATTCCTGCTGAGCTCCTTAGTTGAGACCATGTTATTTTTATGTTCCCATGGCCCATGTTTCTCCCATCCCAGTTTTCATTTCAAACCTTATCCCTCCGTCCCCACAACCTGTCACCGCTCCTTTCCTTGACCCTTTGGGACGCACTCTCTAGCTCCTTTCCTTGACTCGCTAGAAGAGTCCAGACCACTTTTGGGGCCAGAAGTCTCTCACAGAGACAAGCTTAAGCTACAATATCAAGCCATCCTCAAGAAAGAGGAAATCTTCTGGTACCAAAGGTCCAGAATCAAGTGGCTAAAGGCAAGGGATCTCAACACTGGTTTTTTCCACAAGACCGCCAATTGCAGGCGCAGAGACAACACCATCACACACCTATTGATAGGCGATTATCTCCTGGACCAACCTCCAGAAATAGAGCAAGCCATCCTTGGCTATTTTCTGCCCCTCCTGTCTCTCGACCCCCTATGGGGGACTTAGAGTTCCTTGTTCTACCTCTTGATAAAGCAATCTGGTAAGAAAGACCCTTCTCAGAACCAGAAATTTTAGCAGTCATTTCAAACCTAGACTCTGACAGGGCCCCCGAACCCAATGGATTCCCCATTGCACCCTTCAAACTCTTTTGGGAATCTTTTAGAGAAGACTCTCAGAAATTGTTCAACGGATTTTTCTCTAGGGGTATTATCAATAGGGCCCTGAATGCCACTTTCATCACTCTTATTCCCGAGATTGAAGGGGCTACCCAACTAAAAGGCTACTGCCCTATCAGCTTGGTGAACTCTACCTATAATATCCTAGCCAAAGTCCTCGCCTCTCGCCTCAAAGAGGTTCTCCCTCTAGTCATCTCCACCTCTCAAAGTGCCTTCATTAAAGATCGCCAAATTCTTGATGGGGCCCTTGTTGCTCATGAGTGTATCCGTTCTAGAAATTTGGCCAACGTCCCTGGCATTGTGGTTAAGTTGTACTGGTAGAAGGCTTACGATCATGTAGACTAGGACATCCTTGAAGAAACTTAAGTCAGGATGCGTTTTGAGACCAAATGAAGAGCATGGATGAAAGCATGCTACTCGCACCCACATTTCTCCATCCTCATTAATGGCAGCCCCAAAGGATACTTCCCTTCCACAAGAGGCCTCAGACAAGGAGACCCCCTATCTCCCTTCCTTTTCGCTATCGCAGCAGAGGTTTTCAATAGGTCTATTTCCAGAATGCATATTTCCAGAATGTATGCGGCTGGACGCATGCATGGTTTCTCGATAGGATCTCGGGCCCCTATGGTATCTCATCTGCAGTACGCAGACGATCCTCTGGTATTCTGCAATGCCACAACTGAAGAGATCCATAACCTTTTCCTGTTCCTCATATACTTCAAATTCACAACTGGCTTCAAAGTGAATTTCAACAAAACCAAGATGATGGGTGTTAAGGTTGATTCAACTACACTCTCTATCTTTGCGGAGAGATGGGTTGCCAGGCTGAAACATTGCCATCTAAATATCTTGGACTGCCACTTTGCCTTGGCAAACCAAAATCGAGACTGTGGTCTCATATCATAGACAAAGTAGACCGTAAACTCGTACGATGGAAGGTCGCTTCCTCTCACTAGGAGGAAGGCTAACACTGATCAAAGCCACTCTGGCTAACATCCCGGTCTACCAATGTCCATCTTCCACATGCCCATGGCAGTCAGTTCCATAATCGAACTCTTAATGAGAAGGTTTTTTTGGAGTGGAGATGGAACCAATAATATATTCCACTTACTTGCTTTCGATAAACTTTGCCAATCTAGGCAAAGGGGAGGGCTGAGGATCAAGAATCTTAGAACCTAGAATTTTGCTCTCCTGGGGAAATGGTGTTGGCGCGTGACGAACCTCAAGGATCAGTTGTGGATAGACATACTCAAACATAAGTACCACCTCTCCAATACACCATGGTTGCTGAATTGTAGGACAAACCAAAGATCCTCCGGCATGTGGAGGTCCATATGCTCTACCTTCCATGCTTTCAAATCTAGAATCAGATTCCATCCGAGATCGGGGAACCGCGTCCTATTTTGGCAAGACCTGTGGTTAGGTCACACACCTCTTAGGGACAGATTCCCCGACCTCTATTCTCTAGCTAGACATCAAGGGCCACCATAGAGGACGAAATGTTAAGGGCAGGTTCCAATCACTCGTGGAATCCAGTGTTTAGGAGGGCTCTCAATGACCATGAGATAGC